GTAAAAACCAGCACGGTGAAATCATCGGCATCCGATTTTCTACACTAGATTAAACAGCTTTGACTTCTTTTTCTTATGGAAGTCATTTGGTCAAATGCCAGATCTCAGCTGCTTGTAATTATGCAAATAATATTTCTCTTTCTTTCTCCTCTTGGCTAAAGCAGAAAAAAAAAAACCAAAAAAAAACCTGCACATGATAAACCGTGACCAGAACTCACTCTAACAGATCTAATGGCTAGGGGAGTGTGTTAGGCCACTTCAGGAACTATGCCACAGGATGACTGACTCCACATTATCATGGCAAATTATGACTCTTACCCATCATGTCCAAATGCTTCAAATATACTCTCATAAACTGATTATAAGTTGAGTCCCCACTGCACATAGTCTTTTATGAATAACGAGATTAGACAAAGCATTCTGTTTTACAGTAATGGAAGCCTGCCATATGGTAGTCTACCAGGCAAAAAGAAATAATTTTTTTATTTTGCTAAAACAGAATATAACTACACCCAGTCGCTAGGGTTTTCACTGACACTTATTATTCCTATACAATTTTTCCTCTTTGCTCTCCATCTATTATAAGTCTTCACCAAACTTCACTTTTATAGCAGATGCTCAGTACTCCATCTGTAGACAAAACTGAAATAGTTTCCCTGTTAAGGGAAACTCAAAAGTTCACAAAAGGAAAATACCTTTGTTCAGATTAGGGTAAAGATATTATCAGTTACAGAAAATGAAATCAGATATTCCTTTCGCACCACTGTGCAGTATTAGGAAAAACCTGCCATTGTGAAAGAGAGGACACTTTTCCACATTTCTTTGATACTGAAACTATTATAATAATACACCTGATAAATTAAAGCTGTAACTTTTGTCATCATGACTTTAATTAAAGAACAAATAACACAAGAACAGAATGAGACTGGTAATATATAACCCCATGTCAGTGACTTGATAAGAAAGCTCAGGAAAATTAATTTCCAGACAATTCTTTAAAGTAATGGGTAACATACAAAGTAAATGAATTACACACCTTATCTACTTGCAATACCAAAACTGATGTTTGCAACAAAACAATGCACACAAATATACAGCTCCACAACTATTTTCCATCAAGGCACTGACATGTGCTCTCCAAACAGTTTACTTATTGGCCCAAAATCTCCATAAGACAACTATTATTTTATGTTAAAAGAAAGCATGTGATGATAGCAGTATAATAGAATATAGAGACCGCAACTGGATCATCGTGTATGTACTGCACAAGATGCTGCACAAACACAAACAGAAAATCTCTCTCCCAGAGAGAGTAGGAATACACGAGCAAAACAATGGATGGCAGGGAGTATCAGTGAAAAGAAACAATTTTGGGAGAAATTTTATGTGACTTGCCCAGCACAAAGCAAGTGAACCTGAAAAAGGAAGCTATCAAATGAGCAAGCAGGTAGGGTCTTGCAAAAAACTAGTGGGCAATGCATGTATAATACTCTCGTCCCCTATGCAGAATACATCTAGTTCTTATAGTATCTATTTTCCTCTATTACTTTAAAATACTAAAATAAATGTCAGATCACAGACTTCTATTTAAGCAAACAAAAAAGAAAATCTCCCAACCCCCCCAAGCATTTCTCTGATCCTGGCTGATCCTAAATTCTGATATAAGCCCAGAAATGAAATACTGCTCTCTACCCCTGGCAGTGCACTTGCTCAGATGAACATGTTCCCTCTTCTGTTCTATGAATCATTCATTTATTTATTCTAGGAATCCTGAGTGGAGTCCAGCAGTCTACATTCGTATCAACATTTTCAATTAAGATTATTTGCAAAGTCTGCAATGCAGTCAAAAACCAGTTGAGAGCAGAAAAGAAAAGATGAGCAAGTATGAGGCAATTCACTCCGGGCTCAGTGGGTAATGTAGAACAAGCAGAAAACAATATGAATAGAGATAGACAGCTTTTATCATACATTAATCTTTGTTAGTTTCCCTTCTCGCTTTTTTTTCCCAAACCCTTTTGCTTGCTGGTTCTCCCATCTTTTCCTTTTCATCTGTAGTCCTCCAGTTTCAAAGGACTTGTTTAATATCAGGTCTGAAGGGTCTTCTTCCCTCTTATGAATACATGAATAATTTTCCAAAATTGCTTTTCAGATCTATGAATGAGGTAAATTGAAACATTAGATAGAGGCTAGTCAGACAGCAAGTTGCAACTGCTGGCCCAAGCAGCTCAGAAACACATACCTTGTCATACTGCATAATATGTCCAGAGGATCTGTTTCTGCTGTGTGTCCCAGATACAGATCTTCTGATTCCAAAATCAGGAAAATTTTCATTAATTTCAATTGGACTCATGTTTATCAACTCAAAATGCAAATGCTAATTAATTAAAGTCTCCCACAAGGAACAACGTTTTGGTTTGGTTTGTTTTTTTTTTTCCCAGTGAGATACCAAAACACTGAAACAAACTGATGTTTCTACAGTATGATAAAAAATATACGGGTCTTGTTTTATTTTGAGCCCATGTGTAAGATCCATGTGGTGCATCACAGAGCAAAGGAGGCTGCATGTGGGAAAAGTGCACCTATTGACATGGCTTTGTTGATGGCAGAGTCCTGATAAGAGGCACTGACTTCACACCTACTACATGGATTTGAAGCCCCTTTACTGTTCTAAAACTCCATACAGCAGGTGAACACATGGAGAGCAGCACAGCACTAGTGGCAGCACAGGAACTGTAAATGCTGTGTAAGGAAGGGAAGAGATAGAAGGATACAGAGTCAGAGATGGAAAGAACAGACTAGACTGTTTCAGTTGGAAAGGACCTACAGTGATCATCTAGTCCAACAGCCTGAACAACTCCAGGGCTGACCAAAAGTTAAAGCATGTTATTAAGGGCATTGTCCAAATGCTTCTTAAACACTGACAGGCTTGGGGCATGGACCACCTCTCTAGGAAGCCTGTTCCAGGGTTTCACCACCCTCTCAGTAAAGAAACGCTTCCTAATGTCCAGTCTGAACCTCCCTGGTGCAGCTTTGATCCATTCCCACATGTCCTGTCACTGGACCCCAGGGAGAAGAACTCAGCGCATCCCTCTCCCCTTCCCCTCCTCAGGAGGCTGGAGAGAGCAATGAGGTTCCCCCTCAGCCTCCTTCTCTCCAAACTAGACAAGCCCAAAGCCCTCAGCCGCTCCTCACAGGACATCCCTTCCAGCCTTGTCACCAGCTGTGTTGCCCTCCTCCGGATGCATTCAAGGACCTTCACACCCTTCTTGCACCGTGGGGCCCAGCACTGCACCCAGTGTTCAAGGTGAGGCTGCACCAACGCTGGATACAGCAGGATCATCACCTCTCTTGACCAGGCGGTTTCGCTGTGTTTGATCCACCCCAGGGTGCGGTTTGCTCTCTGGGCTGCCAGGGCACACTGCTGCCTCACACTGAGCCTGCTGCCCACTGGCACCCCCAGGTCCCGTTCTGCAGGGCTGCTCTCCAGCCACTCCTCTCCCAGTTTAGACTTGTGCCCAGCGTCACTGCACCCTAGGTGCAGAACCCAGCATTTGCACTTGTTAAATTTCATCCCATTAAGCACTGCCCAATGCTCCAAAGTGGGGAGCAAAGCATGTCCACCACAGAAAAAAGTCAAAGGCTGCTCCCTCTCGTGTCACTCTCATGTTTTCACTCTAAGACTACTCCTGCATTCTCAACAACTTTACAGGTTTTTGTTGCAGTGGAAAAGAATTAGTTTCAGAAGTGCATTTAACTGACTCCCAAAGGGGAAGGAGAACCTAACTAGCATACGGTTCTTACGATTAATTTGTTCAAAACATTATCAATATGATCCTTAATTTTATATTAACAGAATTCACTCTCAGTACCTGTTCCTATGGGTGGCTATAGAGAAATAATTCTTTGCAGTGCTCAGATATTTGGAAAGTTAAACAAAGCTCCCCATAGTGCACAGTTTTTCCTTCACCACCGTAACTACAGAATAGAGGCTTTGTTTACGGACCAAATAAATATTACATCTTTAAAATAACTGCAGGTTCTCCTGACAACTATCACTCTCTGTGAAAATCATCATAAAATTCTATAAAAAGGACAAAAAGAAATGTCATATAAAAGTTAATATAGGTTCAAACTCCTTAATGTAGTTAATGATTTCTCCATTTTATTGCAAGTTTAAAGGTCTAAGTCTCAGACTTTCTCTATGTCATGATTTCAGTGTTAATATGGATTAATGCCCTCAATAGATGAATGTTCACTGTTAGATGAATAATTTGGAAATGCTAATTAGAAATAATGTCATCTTAGAAGAATTTTATTTAATTAATTATCTAATACAACGGCTTTATTTTGGTCTCTCTTCTTCGACAACACCAGAAAATTTGAAGATCCCAAAAGATATTACGAAAAGGCTGGAAGTTTCTATTAAAAAATGGGGAAAACACTTGGCAAAATTATCAGAAACAAAGTAAGAAACTCAACTCTACCAAGCATTAAAATATTTTCAACACAGTTTAATATTTAATTTGGCCTTCTCCTCTTCTTCCCCACTTCCCCCCACCAGCCACTAGAACTGAAGGGGTTCCGCTCCCAAAAAGGCATCTGACTGCATAGTCAATTGTTTGCCTTGGTTCACCTGCCCAGTGTGCAACAGCAAAACTACTTACGGAAGTACAACCTGAACCCATCTCCTTTGCTAGCACCCAGACACTGCCAGGAAGGAGTTACAGGTTGGGATAACATATCAACCAGAAACAAAGCAACTAGGGGCACTGACCATCTTTTCGGAAGGATACAGGACTTCAGCTGGGACAAAATTTATAAACAAATCCAAAACCAACCAGGAATATAACTTTTTATTCTACTAAACTTGGTAAAAACTACTACAATCGGATTTTCTCTTCTCCCTGACATCGGTGGACTTAGCAGTGTTAGGTTTATGGTTAGAGTTGATGATCTTAAAGGTCTTTTCTAACCTAAATGATTCTATGATTCTATTCCATTAGCTCTTACACTTAATCTGAAACTTTTGATCCTCCCCAAAACCCTTGCTGCCTTTACTTAGTTTATTTGTGACAGCAATTTCTCTAATCGTCCATGTGTCTTACTATTTTGACTTGGTGCGGTACAACTCTAGTTTTACAGAGACAGCAGTAACAAGCCATTGTTCTAGGCAGAATGAGAACAATGGCTTGTTCTAGGCAGAACTAGAACAGCTGTCTTAGAGAAGATATATTTTGAAAAAAATATTAAAGCATGCCACTACTGTGTATGTTAAATATTCAGATTTCAGTGTTGTTTATAAGCACTTAAATGGAATCCCAGCACTTACTGGAAGAGTACAGTGCACTATGGGTTTGCGTTGTGTCCTGAAGGCTGGCACACCACGGCTTTGCAAGACACCAGAGAACCAAGAGTTAAAGCTTATGAGAAACTTCGGTCTTGTAGGTTTTTGGACTAGACATAGATTTTTGATTTGGAGCTGCAGTGATATGTAATGGAGTAGGCATTAAGAATAGGCGTTAAGGATCTCTCTGTTTTAAAATAAAAGAGTATTTAAAGGGCAAAATAGTCTCCCTTAACATCTATCTCCTGAGAGATTAAACCTGTACTTCTTACAAGGGCAAAAGCATTAGTTCAGAATTATTTAAAACATGTGCTAGGCTTTGTTTTTGGTGAGCCTAAAGCAGAACATAAGTCATAGAGACCCTCAGAATTTAACCTGAAAGCTAGGACTAATCTCCACTGGTGCTGCTAAACTTGAATTTCAAACAGAGTCATGACTGTGGAAATGATTCTGCACAGACTAAAGCATCCCCTAGTTTTGCAGCTTTTTTTGTGTGGCCAAGCAAAAAAATGGGGTGGGATTGGTCAAACTTAATACATTGTAATTCCTGGAAAAAACTTTTCACTTTCTAATCTACATGACACTTCTAGAACAGCTTCTGTTAGCAAAGCCAGTACAAGATCTCACCCAATAGATAAGTTGTTATTTACTCTGAAGTTATTATTTACCCTGCAGTTTATGTTCTCTCTGTTAACAGTATCCCTTAACATCTATCTCCTGAGAGATTAAACCTGTACTTCTTACATGGACCTAACTGCAGAAATGGTGCTGTATCTGACACTAATGCAAATAGTTGTCTGTTCCTGCTCTTTCTTTCTAACTGGTCTGTGATTGGGGTTTCCCAGGGACAGGGTTGGAGAGGGGAAGAAAGATGGGAACAGCAGTTCTGCAACTTCCCATCCACCAAAGGGAGGCATGCAGGCAGGGAGCAGGATTGCTATAGCTTCCCAGATACATGAGTTGTTCCAGACTCAATCCATTACCATTATCCCAAATTGCCCTTTAAGCATTGTGAGAGTGCAATTTTTTTTTTCCTCTCTCTTTTTTCATGTTGGACAAATGGCTAAGGGAATAACTTTGAAATTATAGTTATGTAGCTTGATTGAGATGGGGTCAAAGCAAATGGGTCCTTACTGCCTTGAGAAATAATTTATATGAAAATAACTCAAGCAATTTATTTGTGTTTCCTTTCAGGTGGCATTAAATGTCCAGTTTGCAGCTTCGTGTATGGTACAAAATGGGAGTTCAACAGACATCTTAAAAACAAGCATGGAATGAAGCTGGTAGAACGTGATGGGGACACCAAGTGGGAGGTAAAGCAAAGTTGCCATGTCTTTGGCCCTAAGGTTTAAAAAAATTCTAGGGAAAAAAGTAAGGATAAGGATAAGAATAAGAAGTATTCAAAAATGTGTTCTTGACTTTACATAAGATCAGGAGATATGTGATCTCATCTCCATTTTGAATTCATTCATTGCTTTAACTGTTAAGCTTGACTGCTCTAATACCTGGTAGGATTAACAGCCTTATAAGTGCTTATTTCTGCAGTTTAGGCCTCTAGTCCTCTATTTGCAGCAGAAAGGGTGAAAGTTTTAGCAAAAACCCGTGAAATTGAAGAACTTGCTGCATTTTGTTGTATGCCAAATGTTCACTGGTATTAACTGCAAGATACACAAAGCTCTAAACTTGTAATTAATCAAAAGAGCTTATGTCTTGGTCCCGGAAAGGTTAGAACCTAGAAAACCAAATTTGTAAATTGACAGCTAAAAAAATGGTATCGTTATACAGAGTAAGTCTTTTATAATTTGTTCTGTGTTTTCAGCATCATTCCCAAGTGTATAGAAAATCACAGTATCGCTAAGATCGGATGTTAAAAAAATTAAATTAGACCTAAGAATCTGAATTAGGACAAAACAAACCAACAACCTGAATTTTCTCGGTTTGGAATGGGGTAGGGCAGCTATCTTGAGAGAGTTTAACCTTTCAAGCTTTTATCTGCTGTCATACTGTCCCGATCCAATGTCAGGGGAGGTTTTGATACAATCCCAAGAGTGAGATTAAGACAGAGAGGTCAAGTGTCGTACACCCAAAATAGGTTTTTATTGTTAAAGAAGTGAAGAGGGGTAGTGATAGGACAGAATAGAAGGAAAAGGCAGAAATAATGCAAGGATGCGGGATAGGACTGCGAGAATAGTCACCACCATGGATCTAGCGGCGTCCCGTTGGTCCCCAGTCTTCAGTTCTTCGGTGGTGGGTGCACACGGATCTGGCTTCGATTGTATATGCACAAGAGCAAGAATTTCTGCTGCCTTTTTAAGTTCATGTACCAGCTGATCAGCATATCTGCTTGACTTCAGTTTTTTTTCCTCTGGTCCAACAGGTTTTGTTGCATCAGGCTTCAAGGACAGGAATGTTTGTCTCTTATAAGTTCATTGGCAATGCATGCATGGTGTCTGGCCTGCACAATAGAGCCACAAACGGCTCCAGGATGGGGCCAGCTCAGTCCATGTCTGCCCCTTTGAGGCTTATGTAAAGAGTCTGGACGATGCAACCGCAAGGAAGTGGGGGGGTGCATCCTTCAATACACTCCCGCTTCTCTGGGCAGCATCCCCCAGACCGATCCACAGGCCGCAGCAGCTTCTCTTGGAGGATTGCACAGACACAAGCAAGCTTTGAGACAGTCATAGGATATTTCAGTCTTTCACACATGTGCATAGCAATTTGTTCTAAAATAAAAACTTGCTCTTTCTAGAGCAGAGGTGGCTGTAGATGGAGAATCTATGGGAAAACCACAGAACCATCTAGATGCTTTTATTAAAAAATGACAGTTGGCTAGCAGTGTCTTTTTTCCACTGCCGAGCAGGCTCTTGGTGTCCAATAAGAGGAATAAACTGGAAGCCAACTGCAGCTGGCTGACCTCCACAGTTAAAGATCTGTTCTGCTAAATTTCAGTCAGTCTAGCCCCTGTTACAAATCTAATGCCTGATTTGGAGAGCCATCCTGCTGTTGTTCTTTAACAGGTTTTGAGTATTCACAGATAGAATGTTAAGTCCTTGAAAAAAATCAGAGTAGTTATAAATGGACAGTTATTGAAAGATAGACAGGGCAAGCATTTTAAAATGTAGTCCTTCAAAGTCTTGTGTCCGCATGCATTTCACAAACAGTTCTCTGTGCACTCTCCCAGTAGATGTCCAAACCTGAAGAAGTAAGAGGACATCCAGGATAGAAGCATGTCTCTGCTGCTGAAAGAGCTATAAATAAACCAGTCCCATCAGAGCAGGACTACATATTGACATCTTGTCTTGAAAAAAAATAGTTGTGGAAAGGAAAATTCTTGTAAAACAAAATGCCATTTTCAAAGTTCAGAGGCATTTTACCATTCTGCAAGGATGTCCATGTTCTAAACTAATTTTGCCCCAAAAAAGTCTTCACTAGACCCTGATACAATAGAAGTCCAATGTTAGTTCTAAAATAACTATGCAACAAAAATGAAATGAAGATAATTTAGCATGCTTAAAACAACTTTTGAAGTAGAATCTGAAAGAATGCTATGGAATGATGTCCTGACTCCCATGTAACGTTCTCCCTGAATTCTGCTTCACCCGGTATTTCTATAACTCTTGTTACAATATTTATTGTTCAAAACTCATTCCTTTAAGCTCAGAATTTCCATTGTCCTCTAAATTGTTAAAATGAGAGTGAGATTATTCATGCTTTGGCTGGGTTTTG